AAATAGAAACTAGAAGATTGTAGACTAAAATGAAAAAAAGATAAATCAAGAGTAGAAGCATCAATATATGGAACATACAACTCGTTTAACAAATACAACTCTCCCTTTCTACTTTCTGTCTCAATTAGCTTCCTAGAACGTGAATTCTATACAATACAATCAGAAGCAGAAAAGTGACTTGAAAATCCAAATTGAAATAGCTAACTAACTGAAATCAAATTCAAGGGAAGTTGTGCAATACAATAAAAATTAGAAAGTGTTAGTTGCGTACAAATAATAGACCAAATACTGGTAAGAGACATTTGAGTACCATTAGCTGCAAACACAGATATAAAGGGAGGAGAGAAGGTAGATGCAAATAAAGAAGAACTACTAGTCCTATGATGTGTAGCACCTGAGCCAAATACCCAAGCAATTTGATATATGCTTAAAGGATCTGAAGTGAACGAACCTATGAAGTGAGTGACTTAGAGAGTAGGTTGGTGCTAAAGAAGCCTCTGCAACTGATTAACAATAATAGTCAATTTTAAACTAATGGACTGATGAGAGTTTGAGTTTCTACTTGCCATAGTTCTAGCAAACGAAAATTGTATAACAGGTGCCTTCAATTGTTCCTGGATGATGAGTTTATTTTACGATGATATCAATCCTAGTTCAAGAAGATATTCTTCCTCTAAAATAATTACTACGATGTAAATATGTTTTTGGATCACAACATGCTCTGATACCGTGTAAACTTTGATTAAAGAAAGAGAAAATGAACATTGAGAAAAATATCATTACGACATAATAAGTTTGTGCATCAACATCAATACTTATTGCCTAAGATACATAATGGAGACACTTGTATAGTAGGGCAACATATAGTAAAATAAACGACTAAACTACCCCCATAAGATAAGACTAAGTATACTAGACTACTCTAAGAATATTGACCCGCTTTAATTGTTTTGCGATTATCAAGTTATTGTTCACATAACTTCTAATCCAGTATATCATGAACGAACGAAATACGTTGAAGTTTCAATCTGTTCGATATCATCACACCATTTGACAAAGTCTAAAGATTAATTTGCTGATATGTTTGTTAAGTCCTAGAGTAGTACTTAGTGGAGAGATATTTGTTCTAAGCTGAGATTATATGATATATATTTTTTAGCTTGAGGGAGAGTGTTAGGATAAATAGGGATGGCATTTGTGTAATTAGTATTGCCCTCGGGATATATTTGCTTAGTTGCTTATATATTAGTCTTTACTTATATTTGCTTAGTTTCTCTCCAAAAACCCTAACTCCTATAGCTACAATAATCTTAAGACAGGTTCAAAAGCTGCTGCTTGAAACAAGTTAATGTGGGGATCTTGTGCTTAGCTTCAGCATTTCAACTAGAGATTGTTTTGAATATAAAGATTTGAGTATTTGGTTGTTTTTTATTCTTCCAAGTTGACCAGAAATAAAATCTCTTGCAAAGCTCACCTCATACCCTTGGTTCGCAACAATGTTTCATTCTTCAGGGAAACATTGTTCCTTACATATAATAGTTCTTCAGATTATCAGGTTATCATTTAATCTATATCTTTAAAAAGTTATAAACTGGTACTAATGTTACTGGCAAGGACAACTGCTTGCACCTACTATACCCTTTTACAATGCAAGAAGCTAGTTCTGACCGAAACCTTTCTTGTTGACATGCTCTGAATGATTTGCGATTGTAAAATTAATTTTGTAAATGGCTCTGTAATAGCTAATTTTTCATAGTTCTTATGCATAATATGGTGATGTGCTTATATTAATGCTCTCCTCTCCTACATGTTGGCACTAGGTTTTTTAATTTTATATTTAATATACTTACGAATTTGGAGCATTAGGCATTAATTATTGTCAGTATCATCATCATCATTGAAACCAACTCATGCACTTCAAAGTATTTTGGGTAGGCTTAGGCAACTATGTGTGCATTATTTCGTAGGATTGTTGTTTTTTTTTTCATCGACATGTTATTCATGTTTTATTATTCTCTCTTGTTGATGGTTTTGAAATTGTGTTTACAGGCTCATATTCGAACCTTTCGTGGGAGGGTGCTAGAGACCATTCTTAGTCTTCGATTTTTTATTTTCCAGTATGGCATTGTCTACAAGCTAAATATACAAGCCAATGATACATCATTAACGGTAACAACTTTCTTCAATTATTGAATATTTTTTGTTGTTAATTGGGGATCCTATGTTCTTGTTGTAAATTTGAAGCTTGATAGAAGCTAAAATGCATTCCTGAAAATTTAGCTGTAATGCTAAAATCTTAATCAAACTTGACAGTCTGTTGTTCGTCCCCGTCTTTAACAAAAAAGAGAGAGGGTGTGTTAAAATCAAAAGGATAGGAGTCAGCAGCTTACTAGGGATCGCTGAGTGCATATCTGAACAAATCCAAGCCACCATTCACTCCCATGATTTAGATCATGTCCTGATCCAGCCTCTTCCAATTACGATCTTCTTCTCTCTTTCTTTCTTTTTTGCCGGTGGCTGGTACTGGGTCTTTATAGTCTTTGCTTTCTCTCTCAAATCTCAGTCTTCATTCATTTGGTGGGTGGGTCTTCATCGATTGAAGTCTAAGATCTTCTTCTTCTCTCACTCTCTCTTGCTCGTCTGTGATCGACGAGCATGGATCTGGATTCTAGTGGGTCTTTAGTCTTCACCAATTGTTTAATTCCCCCCCCCTTTATTGTGTTTTAATTTTAATTAATATTAATGCTATCCTAATCGCACCTAATCAAGTAGGTTTGACCCAAAAAAAAGCCTCCAGATTGCTTAGAGAAACATATCGCAACACATGACCAAAAAAACTAGAAAATACTTTAAAAAATCAAACGACTGTCATAGAGTTTTAAAAAAATGTAGAAAAATAACCATATTAGTCAGCATCATGAGTCGAATCTATCCACATGTTTTTCAAATTTTTTTGACATGGGTCATGGTCAAGGATCAAAATATCGTTTCGAAACGTTTCCGTTTTCAAGGGGACCGAAACGAAACAGTAATAGAATCAAAATTCTGATATTTTGAGGTATTCCATAATGTTTTTAAATGTATTATAATATTTCAATACATTTGCACAATTGTTTTAAAATATTTCAAGGTATTTCAAGATATTTTGATTTATTTCTATCAATGTTTTAGAAAAATAATTCTTAAATTTTTAATTTTTTTCATTATATTTCCGAAACGAGTCGAAACATTTTCGAAACACCGAAACGATATTTTGATCCTTGGTCATGGTAACGTCAGTATGTCTGATGCTAATGCCAGCATGCCAAGTTCTTATGATGAATAGTTCTAGTTATGTTGGGTGGTTTCCTACGAGTTCCAACATTTTTGTGATGCTAGATTTGATCAGAGCTTTGATACCATGTTAGTTTGTGAAATCGTTAGGATTTGGATAAGCCTATGTTGGAGAATCTGAAACTAGAGTTAGGGATGCTAATTGACTTGGTGGCATATGGATGGTCTAGTTTTATGGACGCCTAGAATAGTCTGAAGATCAGATCTATCTAATGATTCACCTATATTATATTCTTCTTCAGTACACTTGTATTTCTCCTTTTCACTACAAATAATCTCTTAATGAAGTGAAAAAAAATGAGAGTTCCTCCCGTTTTCTCTCTTCCTTATTATTAGTCTCCCTCTCAGGAGAGGATTGAAATAAAGTAAAGTTGGGTTTGGTCTCACAAAATGTGACATTCATGCTAACATATTTCTTGTGAGACTGAGGATCTTAACATCTGTAACTTTTTCAACAAAGACACAACGCACAGCCTTAGGATTGAGTTTGCCTCGAGAATGAAGCGAGATATGAACAAAACAAGTACACTCAAATACCTTGGAGAAAGAGATGAAGGAGAAAGGGATAAGTTGAAGAGGAACCTTAAATTGAAGACCGCTAGATGACAAGTGATTAATAAGATATGCAACAGTTAAAACAACATCCCCCAAAAAAGTGTGGGGAACAGTCATAGTGAACATAAGAACACGGGTAATCTCAAGAAGATGACAGTTTTTGTGTTCTACAATCCAATTTTGTTCAGGATTGCCTGTACAACTCGTTTGATAAAGAATATCATGATCTTCAAAGTATGCTTGAAATTCTCTATCAATATATTTAGTCCTCTTATCATTCCTAATGGTTTTAATAGTAGTATGAAATTTGTAAGTCACCATCTTATGAAAATTTTTAAAGCAAGAAAATATTTCACTCTTGCTTCGAAGTAAATACACTCAAGTAACACTCCAATAACAATCAATGAATATGACAAACTAACGATAACCATAACAAGAAACAACTCGAGAGGGACCCCACACATCAGAATGAATAAGCATAAAGGAATAATAACATGAATGTTTATGCTTTGCAAACTCACAAGCATCACAAATAAAACTGCTCTTATGACATGATTTAGCAACCTTATGCTTTGCAAACTCGCAAGCATCACAAACGGCAGTGCCACTGAAATAAGAATGGAAAAAGAGAAGCAATATCCACTTGTAGATCCCGACCCAAATACAATGTAGATAAAGAGACATCATTTAGCAAATATAAAACACCATATGCTCTACCACTACAAATCATTTTTTCAGTCCCTAGTTCCTGAAATACACAATGACTTTCCACAAAACAGTTGAAGAAATTAGTAAGACTACTAACCGAGAGTAAATTAGTAGAAACAGTTGTAGTCTTGTACAGGCATGGTCCTCAGTTGAAGTACTACCTGTTCCTTTTCTGGGCTTTCTTTTTTCTACATAGTGCAACTTCAATTATGGGCAACTTGCTATTCAGAAAGAGAACTGACTGTTGTCCATTGTTACATTTTATGTTCTTGCAGGTTTATGGGTTGTCATGGATTGTATTTGCAGTGCTTATAATCCTTTTCAAGGTTTGGGCATAACTTAGACGTCTGAAGTGAGACATCGATTCTGTAACTTAAAACATCCCTTGCATTTTAATTCTACAGGTATTCACCTTCAGCCAGAAGATATCGGTTAATTTTCAGCTGCTGCTGCGCTTTATCCAAGGCCTCTCATTCCTGCTTGCACTTGCTGGTTTAGCCGTTGCTGTTGTATTAACAAATCTGTCTGTCCCGGATATATTTGCTTGCATCTTAGCATTTGTACCCACTGGATGGGGAATTCTTTCTGTAAGTTTCTGGGACTTATGGTTATGATATTTATCATTCCCTTTCTTAGAAGTATTATTATTAGGTTTTTCCTTCTTCCCCTTTGAAAGTGTGCTGGATTGCTGAACCAACCTCCAAAGTACTGCTATTGTGTTGTGAGCATTTATGCAGTCCATTAAATCAACCTCAAAAATAGTCATTGGCCTTGACTGGTCCCCTGTAATATACTTATATCACACATTGTGGGACCACTTGGAGTGTAATTGGAACTTCTACATTGTTGCATTGACGATGTGCATAGGTGACAGTAGCAGCATCACACCCAAGGAACTTTATTTCATTTCGAAATGTCTGAAAATGAATTATTGATTGAAATTTGAAATTCATATGTTTCGAGATTATTTGTCATGTTTTAGTATGTTACGGTATGTTTTGACCAATGTTTCGGAATATTTCAAATTTAATTTTTATTTTGTTTCCGAAATGTTTCCCAAACACTTCTCTTTCCTAGCTGACCAAGACTATGCACCGAAACGCAATTTTGATTCATGATCACATTTGTGACAGAACTCAAGTGAAACAGTAGTTTGGACACACAGTAGTCATGTATATTTATTTCAAAAAGAGAACAATAGGTCTAACGCCTTTTAGTTCTGAAACACTATACTGTTGAGAAATAATAGTACTCATTAAAAAGGGAGCATCGAGCAAACTACTGTAAAACAAAAGAAACTGCCAAAACTATCAAAAGGAAGCCCCCTAGGTCTCTCTCAAAATCAACAGAGTTATCCTTCGAATTTTTCCTTCAGCACCAAAAGTAGAAAAATCTCAGGAACCTCTTCTTTATGTCCCAGACTCCCAAAACAAGGCCTTAGCGCTATCACAGTATCTCCAGTTCTGCTTCAACAAGTCACTCCACCAAAGGTCTCTGTGTATGAAGTGTCTCCATGTGAGCAACCCGTATGTAATCAGTCACCAACACTTTTTGAAAATAGTTAACATGCTCTTGAAATCTTAGTTTCAGGGGCGCTCAAATATGTAGATCATGCCAAATCTCACCCAATGGCAAGAACCCACCAAATAGTTGACATGCTTAGATT